GGGAGGGAGGATGAAATAGTGAGACACCGAGAGAAGAGAGAGAGAGAGAGAGAGAGAGAGAGAGAGAGAGAGAGAGAGAGAGAGAGAGAGGGAGAGGGTGTACAGAAAAAGAGGGTCCAGAGACACTAATAAAATGTAGAGGGAGTGTCGTGGTTTGGATTCTGTATGTAGAATAGGGTTTTATGGTTTGGATTCGGAGGTTGGGTGGGGCAGTAGAAAAATTAAGCCCAGCATGAAGGGATGAGAGAATAGAAAATATGAAAGGGTAATGAGTATTAAAAACCAAACAAAGAAGAAGAAAATTAAACAAAATCGAAATTTGAATAAATAAAGAAAAACAAAGTCTGGAAAATAATCCTCCCATAAAGCTCGACAAAGCTTTAAGGAGAGAGAAACAGACAGATACTCTGTCAGATCAAAAAATATTTTCTTTAACAGCGAATGGTGATGCTGTTGCTGTAGTAAACACCTTCTCCCTGGTGTCAGCTGATGGCGAGTGGACAGTGGCTAGTGTATGAGACAAAGGGGGTGTGCCTCGTCTAGCCTCCGCAAACCAGCCAGCTTTGTTCGCTCTTTTCAAGTTGTTCAGAAGAGCAAGACTGTTTCCAGTGTTTGGAAGCGACTTTTTGCTATGTAAATCCACTTTTTCCTGACTTTCTGACACGTTTTCGTCGCCGAAAATATTCTGATCCCCAATGCAGACTGTTGTGGGTGAAGAGGTCGCCGTGTCCTCATTCTCAACAATTCCGCTATCCGTATCGCTTTTGGTTGAGACATTGCCCAAACTTTTGATAGTTTGGGTCTTCTCGATCGCACCACTCTTGGCAGCAGAGGATAAGTTTTTCCCAGAAATCTTGGCAAAAACCCCGGCTATGCGAGACGTGTTAGGCGAAACCACTTTCCTGTTCGGCTCTGCTGTTGAAACAGAGAGAGAATCTCCTGAATTATTCCCTCCTGTCGGCTTTTCGCCTGAATCTATTTTCGAACGTACCTCTTGAACGGACGCTGTTGCCTTTGGATCGTCTGCTGTAGCTGACGATAGGCCGTCACCGCCCTTAGCACCAGTGAAGAGGCCAGCTAATCTACGTTTGTTCATGGCCCCCACAGCTCCGGCCACGTTCGTGAATTTGCTTTTCAGCTCGGCAACTCTGACCCGGCGTCGCTTCAGCTTTTTATGTTGCTGCTTGCACACTGCCACCATGTGGTAAATCTCCAGAGATATGATTAATGAGTTTTTGCACACAAAGAAAATAATTGTGTATGTGAACACCTGTGAAAAAAAAAGAGATTTTGATGCAATTTATATACTTGTGAATCATTATGTACTAATTAATTGTAAATATTTCACGCCTCTGACAACACCGTTTAGATTGTTGATGAGGAAGAAGATTAGGTCGACAAGGCCAAACTCTGGCTAACGAGAGGCGATCTACGAGGCAAAAAGAACCCAGGAGGAGCAAAAGGAAATTTGTATTATTTGAAGAAAAAATAAGGGGGGTCGGGTGAGGGGGCATTCTGATAACTGGTATAGTACCTGAAAATGCTTGAGATTGGGCAAGGTAGTTGACAAAGATTTAAAAGCCTTTTCAGTTAATTTTATGCAAACTTGCAATCTGAATTCCTACAACAAATACCCAGTAAATCTATGTCAAAAATGAACAATAACAGACAAGCTGCTATCTAATCAACAGTTACTAATCAGTGACAGTCAGACATGATATATAAATGCATATTACATTTGCATTTGTTTTTTTACTTTGTCCTCGTTTGCAGCTTCACTTTAAAATGTCGGTATTTGAATATGGATGTGTATGCGTATGTGTGCGTATGTGTGTAACTTTCTTTGCGTGTGTGAGCGTGAGTTTGTATCATGTGGGTATCGTGTGCTTGATAACCTGTCCCCACAAGCCACTCAACAAGGCTGGTCACACTACTAATATTCCTACATCGGGGAACCGCAAGGGTGAACTAACCTCGTACTGCAGCAAGGCCAGTACTCTGATCAGCAGGAACGGGAAATCCTGCAGGCCGACCTGGACGAGGATCTGCCAGACCTCGCTGGAGCAGACAATGCTTCTGAGGCTGGTCTTGACCTCGTCTGCGTTGTTCTTGCTCGTACTGGTCAACACCAGGAAAAACTGGCACAGGCTGCCTGTCCACACTAACAGGATCACGTAACATATCGTCTTGTCGGCGGCGATCTTCGGTTCGCTGAAGTATTCGATCAATGATATTCGAAGATTATGGTGAACATGAGAATGCGTATAATGCGTCTAGGCTGGAAAGTATTTTAATCGAAGAATGTATTGAATCTGTTAATGGGAGTATACTGGTACCGAGGGTGAAGAGAACTCGATCAGTGTTGTTCGAAGAATATGTTGAGCTTGGAAAAGATTGTACACTGGTGTCTTGGCTAGAAAGTATAACTTGAATAACGATACACTGGGTGGAATTTGATCAATGATGATCAAAGGATGATTTTTAAAAAAAATATTTAAAAAATTCCTAAAAACAATAAGAACGGCAACAAAAAACAAACAAACAAACAATCCTCTTGGTCAATTCTTTCAGAAAACACACACACACACACATACACACACACACACACACACACACACACACACACACACACACACACACACACACATACACACACACACACATTGGTATTATAGGGCTGGAAAAAGAGTTTGTAAATCGTAAGATAAATACGTAAAGGGACTCCTATTATAGAAGGTTGCTGAATCTTGGTTATTCTTTGGACTTCTTTGTTGATTCAAGAAATGAACAGTTTTTTTTCCAGATGACGAAAATGTTTTAGGAACGGTTTTATGAATTTGGAACTAAAAAGAAATACTAGTTTCTAGTCTCAGCCCTTAACTTAAGCAATACAATGTAAGGCAATACATAAAAAGAATATTTTGTACGGATTTGGTAGCTGGTGTTTAGATTGATTGGCAAAGAGTCTAAATAATAACCATTGCTTGATGGTGAGCTAAGTCATATCTTGTTAGATCTATACTACCTACAGTTTCTGGCTTTTGTAGTTTTCGTTACAGCTGTTGAAAAATCTTCCCTTTGACCCAAAGTTTATTACAGGGTAATTCCCATGTTCCGTAAAATTTCAGTTTTATTTTGCCGAACTCCTGTTTTCACGATTGGAATCGAATACGTTTAAAATGATTTACATCAAATGCAGAAAAATTTAGTTAGCACAAGGTAGTAAGAGAACACTTAATTCGAGTTATGTCAAACAAATCCAAAAGTAGATTAAAATAAAAACAAACAACAAAAACAATCAAACAAACAAACAAGCAAACAAAAAACAATCCGATAGTAAACGGAAAGCTCCCATTAAGCTGGGAATGTTTCAAAATGTTAATTGGTCTGTCGTGGTAACAGTAAATTCTAAATCACAAGAGCCCACTTTCTATTTAGGATAGACGACGAAATAATAGAAATGCAATCTATTACGTCTAAGATTACTACTTCTTGATAAGATGATGATGTTCTTACCTGAATATGGTTGAAAAATCCAGGATGTCAGCAGATAGTCCAAGATAGAGCAGTAGCAGGGAGGACAACTGTGTGTGGGCCATGTCGCCCTTCGGCAAAAGCCACCGGCTCAAAATAATGGTGACCATCATCGTCTGCTCTGTCAGCAGCAGCCAATCGCCGGCCGAAAAGTCGAGCTGCATGCCTACTCCAGGCTATAAACAGATAGACAACAAAGACACTTGTGGTCACTTCATGTCGAAACGTATTGTTATGTTCGAGCCTCATTCAACATACATGTAGTACCTTTTAAACTTCTTCATCCGTTAAGTTTGAGTCAAATGTTTGGAGAGACATAAGACACAGTTTCTTCCTCAAATGCAATGACTTCATTACTTAATCTCTTCATTGTTGTGTAGGCGTATCATTACCTCCGAATTATTACTGACATTTATAGCAGTTTGAGTTTCTAAGTCCATGAAGCTATAAACTAAAATGTTCTATCTGCTCTATCAAAATTGTAAGATTATTCGGAGTTGTTTTCAAGACATTCAAACAATTGGATTAAAAAAAGCTTAACATGTTGGGGAACTCAAATGTTTTTACGTCAAATTTCTCAAAACTAGGTTCTGAGTAGATAAAACTTAAATGCAATTGTAAGGTAGCGGTATGTACCCTCTTGTGTTCTTTCAAACTGGTTCTCTGACATGTTTCTACAGGTCTATTGAGGATACCTAGAAGATGTGTTCGCAACTTGTGAAATTTCTTATTTTTAATAAGAGGAAATACGTTTTGACTTTGGGTAAATCTCTCTTGAGTGAACATCCCTTTAAGCTTCAGCACTCGAAGGGTTAGGCTATTCAAATTCGCAGTTTCTCCTTTGAGAAATCAGTTTGTGGTTAGCAGCCTTTAGCGGTCCTTTTTTACCAAGAGTATGTTCCAATAAAAGTCAATAAACATATTATGCCCCCCCCCCCCCTACATCTTCATAAGCCATTATTAGGCTTGGACAAACCCTCTATCTTGGTGCAGTGAACATAGTTATTCACGGCACCGGCAAAGTACCGCTGAATACATTGTCTTCGGTGGAGAAAGACACAAGACATTTAATTGGGATCTTCATCAACTGTTTACTCTTTTAATCATACGTTTTGCCACGATCCACAGTCGTACACAGTAGTTCTCTAGGCATTCATATTTATGTAGATGAAAAGTTCAAATCATTCATACTGCACCCTACAACCCCCCCCCCCCCCATAGACAATTTGACAGAAAAAATGCTATCTATCTATCTATCTATCTATCTATCTATCTATCTATCTATCTATCTATCTATCTATCTGTCTGTCTGTCTATCTATCTATCTATCTATCTATCTATCTATCTATCTATCTATCTATCTATCTATCTATCTATCTATCTATCTATCTATCTATCTATCTATCTATCTATCTATCTATCTATTTCAAGGATGTGGGGTGTAAACGATTACTTCACCACCGTTGAGAAGAACAGAAAAGGAAAGAAAATCTTTACTGCATCTCTTTTTCCCTGTTCCCGCCACTCACCACAGAGGCCACATTTGACCCATTTTGTCCGGTCAGGTGACCCAAGCTCTCCAGTTTTTGCACCCACAGAGCGGAGGCTGTCGTTGCTAGGTAACACAAGGTGCTGGGGGATACCCTAAGAATCGGAATACAGTGATTGGTTGTTACTGTTTTTCGCCCTCATTGATACAATTCATACCGTTTAATAAACAGGCAGCCTCGAAACAAACCTAAAGCTCCATTTAAAGTACATTATGAGGATGACCCTGACCTTTGAATTTAAAGTTAATCTCCCATAGGACCCAGCCATGGAGTTAAAGGTCTTTGAAGAAAAACTCCTCCAACAAACCAGTTCAAGAAGGTCAAGTTGGGTATTCGAACAAAGGTCATCCATGCCGTTGTCAGGCATGAAATTAATTGTGTTGTGGGGGACTCCGTGCAGACTTATTTCTGGTGAAGATACTGGTCGGCCTAAACAAAATCGATTTTATTTCAAGCGAAAAGAATTGATTTATAAATAGTTTCCAGCAACTTCGTCAAGACATCCGCGAGTGGTCTAACAGATACACTGATCAAAATGCACTCAAAAGACGCTGGTTTGAAGCCTATTCGAGTGAATTTTTGTCACTGGGAAAGGCATTTAAAGGAAATTGTTGCCTGACTTTGTACAGGTAACAATGGTTATCAGGGTAAGACAGTGGAAAAACCTGTCTGTACGTCAATATTTGAGCGTATACATATGTGTTGAATTTTTCCCAGTAGACTGAAAATGATTACTGTTGTGACGGAAATAAATTGCAGGGCATATTGAGATTAATTAATCCTGCAAAAGTAAACAGCCTTAAACGAAATAAAAAGAAACAACGAATGTGAGACCAAATAGACAGAAACAAAACAAAGAGAAACAAACAATAAAACAAAACAGAGTAAAAACAAGAGGAACGAAAAATTAAAAAGAAGCGAAAACAAAATGAAGTGGACACCAAAAAAACCCCAACAACAAATAAATTAAAAAAAGAACCAGGAACCCTCCCCCCCGCCCCCCCAACAAAAACAACGAAAAGACAGAAACATAGAGGTACAAAAGTAAGTATGACAGAGTGCATGATGGCAGCAACTAAGAACCATAAGAAATAACAGATCATTGCACAAGAACCTCGAAGCCAGAGGTGGCACCTTCTGGTTCCAGCAGGTACAGAAGTAAAACAAAGTGAAAATAAAACAAAATCAAAAGAAAACAAAGTAAAAACAAATCGAAATCAAATGAAAACAAAGTGAAACGAAAAGCAACATTACCAGGGCCACTCCTGACCAGCCCTGACCCACATGGTCACCACGTACTCCACGGACAACAAGAAAACCCCAAAAGCGAGTGCCCAGTAAGCCACACCCATAATGACAGTCGTTCTCCAGACCGTCACCAGAGCATGAGTCCCGAACAGCGTGCGAGCGAGGATCGCTTTGTAGTACTTCACATAGTCTAAGACGAGGCTCCCGGCGGTTGTTGAGGCTTTTGTAGAGGCTTTAGACTTAGTGGCCGCCATCTTTGCCTTATTGTGAAAATTAAGACTGCTCTGTGGGAGAAGTTAAAACGAAAAGAAGGCAGTGTTGATGAGAAAGACGTACTTTATTTGGAGCTGTAAAGTTTTCTTGCAGTACAAGTATACACAATAATAAATACAATGTACATAAAACACGGAAGCAGGAGAAAAACAAAAGCCCCAAAACAAAAATATAGTTTATACTATTTTATGACAAAGGGTGGAGGTTGGAGCTCCAAAAAAACTGAAATTTGAAGAGTTAACTTGTTCTTCTTTATTGTGTGTGAGGCCCCAGAGGGCTGGGTTGTAGATTTTGTTGCATAATCTATTTCATAAAACATTTCCCCATATGAAAAAAAACCAAAAAAACTTTTACATACCATTATGGTCGCTTCCCAACCTGTTTTACTTTGGAAATTCGTTTAATTTTCTGAGAGAAAAGAATTTTTTAAGTTTGGGGGGTGAGGGGGGGGGGTAATTAGTTTGTGATTCTTTTTAACCCCCCCCCCCCCAAGGGCCTTAATGCTTTAACGCTTTAGACAAGAAATTACTACAAAACACACCAAATTATTCCGGTGCTCCTTCATTGAAAGTTGATGATTGTTGCTTATTTCATATTAATGTCGTGTTTCGATCTTCAACAAAAATATCTATTGTTTATCAAATTCTGTTTGATATTCTTTTTTTAAGCCATAGTAAAGTTTTAGATTTTATTCTAAACTTTCTTAAACTCTTAACTGAATGATCACAGCTATTGAAAAAAGCAGAGATATTACCCTTTTACAATTCGACGGTTAATTTTAAGAAATCCGTATGCCACATTTTCTCTAAAATTGACTATTTTTTTTTTTTTTTGCTTTTCTGTGGCGCATGTTTTTCTCCGTCACATTATCTTTTTGATCAGGACATCGGACTGTCAGTTGAAATTTACAGTCCGAACCTCACATTGAGAATGATTCGAAGATATGTGTGTGGCCACGGATAAAAGTCGGCATACGGTTTTCTAGAACTGATAAATCACCGTTTTGATCTTTTATTTCTAAAAATAGAGTCATGATCGATAGAGTATTAATTTCGTTACGAACAAGACAGTTATCATGAAATACATAATATACTCGTCTCAAAGCCCAATTTCCAGAATAAAAAATAACAAATCTTGCCTGGACAGTGTTCTGGTCACCCCAATCGCTGAAAACGCACGCTGTCAGTTGACGCCGCTACAAGCACAACAATAAAGTAATTTAACGTACTTCGATTTTAAGTTTGCTTTTATTTTGTCTTTTGAGTTTACGAAAGGCTATGTCTGTGGAGGGTGGGGAGGGGGGGGGTGCTCTCGGCTGCATATGCACACAATTTTAAGGGAAGGTGCTACAACAATTGAGCTCTTTTTTAATTTGCCTTATTGGGCTGCTTTAATGTTTTTATTGTCTTCAGTGTAATTGAGAGTAACGAATGTGGATTTGAATGGATAGAACAATCATTCCTGGACAGCCAAGAGGAATATTATGTGAAGGTTGCTTTTCTTTCACTTTCACGCTATTTTCACGGATTACGTAAACTGCCCCATTTCGTAAGATTTTAGTGCTAAAAATACTAAGGCTTACATTTTTTCTACGAATAGGGTTCAAATTTCGCATGATGTCTTTACAGCCATATTGCAACATACTGTCACCATCATTATTATACGCATAGCCTTTTTAGTTTTCTTGGGGTAAAGTTTTTATAACATTCCCCCCAAAATGTTACGGGTTTTCTTCTCGATACCACAGACTAATACAAAACTAATGAAAATATGCAATTTTCTTGTTGACGAAAGTTTGATATTGTAGTAGTAGATGATCTTACCAAATAACAAAGAAATTGCTTGAAAAATGAAAAAGCCTCAGGATTTTTTCAATGTCCTAAATTTTGAGGTAACCTCTCAGTTGTAGATGCATGATGGTTTCATGACATTCAAATATCTAACCATTTCCTATGAGCTTGCTGAATACCGCGATAACACAACACACTGTGTATGAAGAAGCTAAACAAATGGGAATGTCAGAGGCATCTTCCCTTAAACAGAAATCCTGACCTGCTGGTGCTACACGTCAAACTGTTAAATGCATCTACATGGCTGGTCTCATCACAATAACAATTGTTTTTGCGAAGTCGAAGAAATCCAGACAATATTAATCATTTAAATCACTCTACAAACCTTACAGGAGTTATTTACAGAAATATTTTCAGTAAAGTTTCCAGAAACGTGAACAGAAACATATGCAAAATAAGCGAACAAAATTATTAACAGAAAACGTGTAATCACAAAGTGTTCTACTCACATGACTTTATGCTACCGTACGTTTGCAAGGGTGGTTCTCTAAACTGTATTATTATACTACGAGTACGTCCAATTTTCTCAAGAAAAGATATAAACAAAGTAACATAAACATTACAAAGTTATCGAAGTGAAATCTTCTTAAACATTTTTGTCGAAACTGATTGATTTCATAACTTTATATCTATGTATTTAAACAATATTATTTCAAGCCTTTTCACCTCTTCTGAGAAGTAGGAGAAACCTGTTTATCTTCGGTGATATTTCAAGTACACGTATGTAAGAATTCCGTGAAATTTCATGACGTAACCATCGTCACCCCATCTCTGTGGCAAATGAGGAAAAAACACGTCCACTTGTGGGTGTCGCCTCAGATAGTTCGCCCTACGCCATGTTTCTTGTCAGATGTTCACCACCACCATGGTAGAACTGACCAGTAATTCTCCTATGGCCGAGAAAGGAGCTCGTTTTGCCATTCGAAGAGAAAACCTAGTATCAAACAAATTCATGTCTCGTTTCAAACTGGAGAAATCTCTCCCCCTCCCTCGAGCTACATCGTATGCTCAAATTGTCCAATCCCACTGTTTCTATTTTAGTCGTTGAATTTAGAGACATTGCAATCAAAACAAATAAATATAGATAATTGCATTTTCTCTTTAATCAAATATCTTTAAAAGAAGTCAATTTGATCCAAATTCACAGATACTAGGTCTTTTCATTCAAACGGCAGCACATATTCAACGATATGTGCGTCTCGTAAATGGATAAGTTTTGTTTGGGCGGGCCAGCGTTGGTCAGGAACAAAGAGCAAGAGAAAGCAAATAATGACACTCCGTCAAGACTGTTTCCCATGTACATATTATTACGTTGTATTCTGAGTTCATGATTATATATATCTAAATCGTTTCACCGTATTTTCAAGAGCACCCCCCTCCAAGGGAAAAAAAGAAAAATCCTGAATAACAATCTGAAACCACATAGCATCTCATCACAGACAATAAGAAAAGCATCTTTATTCTTTAGTTTAGGTATTAAATTAATTTTACGGCGAATTTAATTATTATAGTTTTATTTTTATATTTATTTTATAACCTGCGTTCAAGGCTCAGTGTATAAACGATCATATGTTTGGTTACAAGTTTGCATTATTTGAATGTCGTCTTTGTTCCTGTAGTTCATATTTCTTTCATGATTTTATTAATTCAGTTTTCTCTCCTTTTCTGTATTCGTCCATCACTCTTCGCATCTTTATGCCTGCTTCTTTACTGTATCCCGTCCATGCTTTTCTCTCTCTTTTACTCTACCTCTGCCTCCTCGTATTCTCGCGTTTATCTCTCTACGCTTTCATACCTGCTCACCCAAGCACCTTACATGTCTGTCTGTCTGTCTGTCTGTCTGTCTGTCTGTCTGTCTGTTTGTCTCTCTGTCTGTTTGTCTGATCTGTTCATAGTATTCACAAATCCCAAAGAGAAAACTAAAGACACCGACAGACTTTTAAAAGAATAGAGGAAGTACAAATTGAATCAAACGATGTCGTCACAACGCCGGCACATGACTGTATCGGTTACTACAATCAACAACGTTATCAGACACCGAAAAGTGAGTTTGCGATGTACTTTAACGTTGCCAGTCAGACACAGGGTAAATTAATATTTTCGGCTGCACACGTGGGTGGATATATAGATTTCTATACATATATATATATATATATATATATATATATATATATGACCACAAAACCAATAGCACCTCGATGAATATTGTATTGTTGCAACGTTTGATTTGGCGTTTCTCCGAACAGGGAACCATGCCAATTGACGTCACTTCCTGAAGGACGCCATGTTATTCCTTACGTCACCCTTTGGACAAGATCGTAGGACCTTTAGGGCCTTTGCAGAACAATCTCAAGCTTTCGTTGATAATTTTTTGTTCTCGTCCGGCATTTTGTATACATAATATCTTTGTCAATTTTCCTCACTGCTTGTCTATCTTCTTTAACTGGCATCCCTCGCTCCAGGCTCGTAAGAAATAGATTTGAACTGATAGAATCTTACACACTCACAGGCACATACACACACATTACCTTCTACCTCTCCCGTTTTCCTCCCCTGGGAAAGGAATACATAGGCAACACATTATCAAAATCAGAATTTATTGATTTCGGTGGTTTGGCCAGTTTGAGGAAAGGGGGGAGGGAGGGGGTTGCAAAGCTTCGTGTCGTACCGTGACCTTATTATTACAACATGACTCTATCTCCCATAGAAGGCGTGATAAGGAGATACAATTAGAAACCCCTACAGAATTACAGACGCGATATTTTAAATGTTGGCTCCAGTAAGTTAGGTCCACTTCTTCCCAGAGTCGGTACTTTTGATCTAACGTGATCGTGCGGCAATGCGCATTGGCTGAGTAAACAACTCTGTGCTCTGGGTGGCGAGACGGTAATGGCGTATTTGGGCGGACCGGAAACGAATTGCCTCATGGGTTTGCTTTACGTCTGCTGGAATCTCGCACACCTACAACAGGGTTAATAATTCACTGTGTAAAGGTGAATGTTTTCTTGTATGAACTGAAAAACTATATATATATATATATATATATATATATATATATATATATATATATATATATATATATATATATATAGTTTTTCAGTTCAAATACACACATACCAAATTCAAAGACCGCATAGAAAAACCAAATTACACCTAGCAAATCCAAATACACAAATGACGTCATAAAAAGTCATAATACAACAATAGCAAGTTCAAATGTAAACATAGAAATCTCAAATGTGACACATAGCAAATTCAAATGCCACATAGCAAGTTCAAATGTAAATATGCTTGAACTGGGATAAAAGGAAGCTAAGTGGGTGGTTGGCGGGTGTTTTGGTGTGGTTTGCTCCTTCTATCCTATCTAACATCTATCATCCTATCTTTCCTCCTTTTTTGTGTCTGTTACTCTCTTGTAATACCTCAAATCTTCGGCACTTATATGACCTTATTATTGTGTTGCTAGTGCCGTAAAACTCTTACTAAAACTAAACAGGAGGCTAAAAGTATAAGACGTGTATCAAGGTAAGAAGTAAAAGGGTTTGGGGGGTTTTTGGC